TAGAAGATTCTGACACACCTGCTCTGTCTCTGCAGCTGTGAACTCTGGAGAGCAGGTAGTCTCAGTAATGCTGTTCATTAATGTACCCTTATTGTTCAAAACAATCTCTAATACAAAGATAATAGATGGATGGACTGAAGGTTCACAGATCATTGAGAATTCAGAAAAGCCTTTCTTATCACCCTGATTTATTTGGGCCATCCAGCCTCCCCATGTTTACTCTATGCTGACTTATCTCTATGTAACTTTTGTAACTTCTTTGAAATGCACTACTTATGGAATCATCTCTGCTAGAATATTAGAACAGGTCAGGTCAGCAATTTGAAATATTTTTAAAGATTTATTTATTTATTGTGTGTGTTTGGCTTGCACCTTGTGTGTACCTGGTGTCACCAGAGGTCAGAAGAAGGCGTTGGATTCTCTGGAACTGGAGTTACAGATAGTTGTGAGCCACCATGTGGGTGCTGGGCACCAAACCCAGTCATCTGCAAGAACGACAAGTGCTCCTAACCACTCAGCCATGGCTTTCCAGCCCCTTCTCTTGTTGATCATCACATCTAATGGTAATTAGGTTGTATTTTTCTTTAAATTTATTAAAAGATAGCAAGTTGGGAGTAGCTCATATTTAAGGCAAGCCCATCATAACCACTAGAAGAGAAACTATAAATTTCATCCTATGCTCTTTGATCCTTCCTAATGAAAATGTATGCTTTGCTACTTAACATAATATAATGCAGCTTTGTAAGAATAAACAAGTCTCCATGCATAAAAATCTACATAATTGTACTAATCATAATTGGAAGTTTTTAATCTTCAAGGAATTCCCTTTGGCCTTTGAATAGTATTATGCAACTGGCATGCTTTAGTAAAATTAAAATAAACATTATGCTGCACTTACTTAAACTATTAGTTTCAATATGAACTCATTAAGCCAACTATTGGGGAGAAAGCTGGAGCTAGTATCATAGATCTATGATGGTCTGTGTATTCTACTTCATGACCAGAGGAGTTCATAACAGAATTATCTTCTACTTACAATAATTGCTTTCTGAGAGTGAAGCCTAGTAGCTGTAGGAGGCTGTGAGGACGTAAGAGCTGCTCTTGCTGTAAGCTCATCTCTGATAGGCTTCCACAGAAACTTTTGTAGAGCCAGAAGAACACCCACTAGATATAAAACACCGAAAGTCCTGTGGCCACAGAGCTATCCAAGACCATCCTCTGGGGCCTGTCATACTAGCTTTCTGGGTACACATCTGTCACTGGATGACTCTAGACAGACTGTCTGACTAGAGTGAGGGATAGAGGGCTGGAGTCAGCAGAAGCATCTAAAGGTGGACAGCTGGAGTAGTGTTAGGAGATATTTCTGGAATCCCTTTGGGTCTCTAGGTCAAGTAGGGCTAGTGTGAGAGTGAAGGATCGGAGGGTGGTGATGATACCAGGTGGCTTGGATCTTTAGCAGCATGTCTAGTAACTGCAGGGCTCACCTTAGAATGAAGTGTATTCATCTCCAGAAGAAGTTCATGATGACAGCCATAAACTGATGAAAAGTGTAAGGAAACAGAATTGAGGCATGTGGTTGAACCACAGAGTTCTTAGTGACACTGTGGAGGACACTGGGCCACAGCATTCAGGGCTGCCACAGCAAAGGTACATAGAAAATCAGTCTTGCGCACACACACACAAAAAATTAATCAACTTGCAAAGTAAAGCTATCATGTTCCTGAAATAACTTCCAGGCTATTAAAAATCCTTATAGTTAATACTTCATCCCAAGGAATTTTCCATAGCTTTCTACTCATTTTTTTTTTCAGAATGAAAATAGCTATGTCCTTCCTCATGGTCTCCCTAAGTAGCTTTTTAGAAGCTATGAAGCCACAGAATTTTAATATCTCAATTCTTGTTGCATGAAATACTGCCTTATATCCTGAGGGAAAAAAAGAAAGATGTATCCAAATAAATGAAAAACATTACTTACCATTGCTACTGACATACTAAACCTCAAGTTGATTCAAGCAAAACAATATGAAAGTATGTGACTTTTCTAATGAATGACAGTTTTCCCTTGTGAACCTGCTCAGTTATTATGAGAATCAAGGTAGACTCATGCCTTTTTTCTTTCTTTTGGAGGGTACTAGTCAACTGTAGCTGGAAGTTTCTCCAGTCCCACCCGGCCCCACAGTCACTTATAAAATAATCACTCAGAAGCTTAATATTAATTGTGAATTACATGGCCTATGGGTCAGGCTTCTTGCTAGCTAGTTCTTATAACAACTCAACCTATTTCTTTTAATCTAAATGTTGCCACATGGCCATGGCATTACCAGTCTGCTGGCATCTTGTTGTTCCTTGGGTGGTGGCTGGTGTCTCTACTCACTCTCCTTTCTTCTCTCACTATCTCTTTTGGATTTTCCCACCTGGCTCCATCCTGTCCTGCCATAGGCCAAGGCAGCTTTATTTATTCGCCAATGGGAGTAACATATTCACAGCATATGAAAAGATATCCCAAAGCAGTCCACTTTTTAACACTATGTAAAATATAATTTTCAGATCTTCAAAATTTCATACAAACATGTAAATAGCCTGAAACTGCCATGAAGTTAAGTTTACTAAAAGAACTTGGGCTTTTGGGGGGAGGAGGTTGCGTTTGAGTAACCACTCCATTGATTACAACCTGGGACAATTTTGTTGTGGTGTGTTTTGTTTCTATGAAGTGGGTCTTGCTCTTTAGCCCAGGTTGACTTTGAACATGCTCTCATCCTGCCTAAGCCTTCCAAGTGTTGAGGTTAGCCATGTGAGCCACCATGCCAGGCTTCTGGGAAAGCTTTTGGAGCCTCATCTGGGAAAACAACCATTGGTGATTTAGTGATACTCATCAGTGTATGCACAGCACTCAGCACACTGCTTGCCAGGTGGCAGACACTCCCACAGTCTTGCTTTTCTAATGTCACATGCAAAGCGAAGAACCACCTAGAAGAAAAGAATGAGAGTTTTTAACTTTTGTATCATGTGCTGGTTCTCATCTCCTTAGGTACTAGAAATAGGGTGAAGACAGTAGTAACTAAGACATGGCTTTATGTTCTTATTTTTTTTAATTTTCGAGACCGGGTTTCTCTGTGTAGCTTGGCGCCTATCCTGGAACTCGCTTTTGAGACCAGGCTGGCCTCAAACTTACAAAGATCCGCCTGCCTCTGCCTCCTGAGTGCTGGGATTATAGGCGTGCACCACCACCGCCCGGCTTTTTTTTTTTTTTTTTTTTTTTTTTTAAGATTTATTTACTATGTATACAGTGTTCTGTCTGCATATATCCCTGCACACCAGAAGAGGGCACCAGATCTCATTATAGATAGTTGTGAGCCACCATGTGGTTGCTGGGAATTGAACTCAGGACCTCTGGAAGAGCTCTTAACCTCTGAGCCATCTCCCCAGCCCCTGGCTTTATATTCTTAAAGCACTTTTACTTCATTAGCTGGAGGGTGATTTGCTACTCTCTTGTGAATTAGTGTTTATTGATTCGGTAATCTGTTTAGGTTTACTTCATGAGGTGATCTATAGTAAGCTTTGAATTCTATGTGCCATAAGGGGGCAACAGAGCACAGGCACCTTACTAGTCAACCTTAAACAACGTAGCACGTGCCCACGTGGCTCTCTGGCACAGGGTCATAAGTGAAATTGGACTGGATGATCCACTGCTACCTCAGGTGTCTTGCGCTTCACAGCAGGAAAGCAAGTTAGAAAGGGATGCAGGAGAGTGGTCTGAGGATGTGGTCCTCAGAGCAGTGACAAGAGTCCAGTGACAGCAGAATGGCCACAGTGATTCCCAGCTGACCTGGCATCCTAATCACGACCCTGAATAAAACTGTGGGCAAATATAATTCTACAACAGCCAGCCCTGGAGTTCCCCCTATAGATGTCTTACCAGGGCTGTAGGCTAGCCCTGTGTCTATGCAGTCCATTTTCTCTGCCACCTTACCTTAAGCCCTGATGAAGCTTCTCTAATAAACCTGGGAGGCCTGTGAGCCTGAAGCTGGGAGAAGAGCAGCTTGAACTCAGTCTCAGAGCTCATCCTGATTTTCGGTCTAGAAGGCTGACCTAGCTTTGCTGCCCTCAAGGTCTAGATCATCTCTTGGGTCCCACTGTGCCCTAGATTTTTGTACTGGTCTATAACCATGCTCTCCGCTGTCTCACCTTCCCGTGAACACTCTATAAGGCCAAGGTGTCTCAGATTCTGTCTGATCTTACACCCAGGAAACAAGGAAAGGGAAAATAGCCCCTGGTTTCAGAATATGCATGCCACAAAAATCAGCCTCCTTAATTTATCCATCTCCTGAATATGCATGTATTGCCAATGAGAACAGATACTTATCTGTGAATTTTCAGAAGCACCAAACAGTGAAGGATGGCTAAATTAATGTTATCTTTAGTGGCTGAGTGAACTCAAGGAGGAAAAATGGTAGGATAAAAAGGTCAATGCTTTCATAATTCCCTGCAGCCGTGAATAATAGTTGCTAAGACTGGAGCATATATTCTCTAGTTATTTTTCCATTCCAAATGTTATACTACTGGGAATTACATCATTAATGATTAATTGAAGTGGATGTTCAGGGTAGGGGTGGCAGTTTCTATGTTGTTTCCATCCAAACCAAATTATGCAGTGTGTGTGTGTGTGTGTGTGTGTGTGTGTGTGTGTGTCCTGGTTTCCGGTTGTTGCCTGCTATAGTGTTGTAAACATATATTTCATTCATTTATCTTCACTTCTATTACTTCAGTGCTTTCAAAGAGAACAATACCTTTTTTGTTTTCTACTTCAGAAGTGGGTGGGTGTGGCCGAGATCAAGCACCTTCATTGAGAATACTAAGAAGCTGCTTTGTGATGAGGAACCAATGAGAAGGAGCAGTGATTCCAACAGTTTTTGAGGGTGTCTTTGTACTTGAGGGAAAAAAAGGAGGGCCACTGTTACTTCTTTTCTTATTATTTTTTTTTTCCTCTCGTCCCTCTTTAGACAAAACCTGTTGCGTTTGCAGTTCGGACCAATGTCAGGTACAGCGCAGCCCAGGAGGATGATGTTCCGGTGCCAGGCATGGCCATCTCATTCGAGGCAAAAGATTTTCTGCATGTTAAGGAAGTAAGGAAAATTTCAGTTTCTTTCAGTGTGATTTTTTTCACCTTTGACTCTCACTGATTTCTTACTGCTGTGAAAAGCATCAGGTCTAGCTACAGTTGTCTAAAATACAGCTAAATCAGTGGCTCGCAGCCTTTTCTGGTATAAATAAACTTTGAATGTAGAAAGGAGTCAGAGGCTCCTGGAAGGAATGCCAGGGCCCCTTTGGGCTGCGTGTCCTAGAAATTGGGAACTATTTTGTTAGGCAATCCATTTTTATGTGTGTCCTGCATTGTCTCTCTTAATGATTAACCTTGATTGACTATGTGTGATTTCCCCTGATGTCTGAAGTTGGAGTTATCTAAGGAAGAGTCTTTTTTCTTTTTTGTTTCTTATGAGACAAGATTTTACTCTGCGGCCCAGGTTGGCCTGGAACTTTCTATGAGGCCCAGGTTCTGAAGCTAACTATATAGCCCTGGCTGGCTTCAAGTTTGCTATGATCTCCCTACTTCTCACCCGCCTCCACCTCATTCACCTGTGTGCTAGCATTACCGTTGTGAATCACCATGCCTGCCTCCTGGGAGAGGGTTTGGTTGCTTTCCACCGGAGAAGCATAATCTCTGCAGTGGGAAGGGAACGGTGGGAATCAGAGCAAGTGAGACCAGAAGCTGACGCCAAGAAAACCCTTGGCCCCTAAGCTGACAATGACCCAGGCTGGAGATTGGAAAATTCACCTTTAATTAAGTTTTGTTTGGTGTCCACATGTCACATGATTGCTCTGTGGGACACCGTAGTGACCGTAATTCTTCCTAGATGAGTCTGTGTGAACATGAGCTTTTTTTTTTTTTGACCCGAGGGAATTTAGAGTTGGAAGAATTCATAGGGAGCTCATGACAGTTACCTGACAAGCGCACTAAGGGGCGGGAGTGAAGAAGCTCATGACCACCCAGTGAGAGAGCTCCCAATTTCAAAAGAGGAGACAAAAGTGTTCAGAAATGATGGTGAACTACTTTACAGCAGGAAGCTAGACTAATACGGGGACTTTTCTTGACGCCAATACTTTGAACGGGATCATTTTCTACTGTGGAAAGAAAAACCATGGGCATTTTTTGACATGTTTGAGAATAAATTTAATTGAAGAAACTAAAATTAGATTGTGAAGACTCGAGATAAATACTTTACCTGCAAGAGACAAACTGTCAGCATCAACATGAGAAAAACCATCTGGGAGCACTGTACTATGGGATTGTAAAATTGCACAGCAGTACATTTTGCTGATACAAAGTATTTCAGGTACATTTCCGTACTTCTCTCTCAATATTAGTACTTCCAGCTAATCCAGTTTTATAAGGGGAAGGGCTCTATAAGACTTCCTAGTTCCTAATTGTCTTTCGCTAGGTATGGGCCATAGAACCTTGAAAGCTTCTCACAGGATCAGCCTGATCCTAAAAGCAGCACTGGGAAGGGAGATTAGGAAATGCAAAGCCTTTCTTGGGCTCCTGGCTGATCACACCAAGCATACTTCACTCTTCTGAGCTGAACCCATCAACCCAAGGGCTTCTCGAGTTTTGGTATTCGATGCATGCTTCTAACTGCCATGTTTCTCTCCAGTGAAAGCAGCTGCTATAGAAGAAATCGATTCAGATCTTTAAACTTCTGTGCATTAATTCATTCCAATACTTCTGATTTTGTGTGTAGAAATTTAATAATGACTGGTGGATAGGACGATTGGTGAAAGAAGGCTGTGAAATCGGATTTATTCCAAGCCCAGTCAAACTAGAAAACATGAGGCTACAGCATGAACAGAGAGCCAAGCAAGGGAAATTCTACTCCAGGTAGGAGGAAAATAGCTGTTTCTATGAAATGCAGACAATGCCCTCCTTTCTGTCTTGTTTCTTGCTAAGAGCTGTGATCCTTATTACATATTAAGTGGATGTCGACGCAGTCCATTGACAGCACCATAGCTCCCATTAAAAACACTTCATCCCGGCTTCTGATTTTTATCCCATTTGAGAGAGAATCAAATTCATTTTGATCATTAATAAAAACTGCTAAGGTCACAAAGTGTTAAATTTTGCCTTCAGCACGGAGGGGACTCTGAAGTCCTAATCATTTGCTGAATATACTCAGGCACGTAGCAGCCATGGTGACTAATCCCAGTGTCTGTCTCTAGTTAACCAATGTGGCTGAGAGATTGTTTAGGGATATCGGTCTCAGGCATCACTAGCAAACAGCAGCTTCTGTGGTCTGTTAGTTTTTGTGTTCACCCCACAGATTCAATTTTCAGTTCTCCCAGCCATTGAGCCCGTAAAAAGACACTATGCATGAAGCATGTTAAAACTGCCTTGGCCAATAGCGGTTAGCTGAGTTATATAATAGGCTGAGCCTAGTACTCCGACTGCACCTTCCTAGGAGGTTTAAGCTTCCCTTCCCTTCACCAAGACACTCATTAGGAGGGCTTCTCATCCATGTGGTGAATTTCATATTGAAGCCAACAGAGCCAAGCTGAAGAGCACGGCATGCTGCTTCTCACATGGATGGATGGAGGGGCATGGAGAAGACTTTATCTTCATGTGGACAGCTGAGTTTCTGTTTTCATTCTGTTTATCTTGCTTGTTTATATGATGACATAAACTCTGTTATTAGTGATACTATTTTAATGTTAGCAAGTTTTTTTTTTTACCTACTGTCAACAGACAAGTGAAATAGAATATACTCAGCCTTATTAAAACTAGCTTTGGATCACTGTCACACTATCAATATCTCGCAAATTATTCTACTGAACTGGTTACTTTTTCTTAAAACCGTATACTCTTTCTTTAATTTTTCTCATTTTATTTTATTACATCTCTTGACCAAGTTTTTGTCTAGTTATGTTTAAGTACTTCTACTCACTTCCACAGTGTTTATATTTGCCTTTTAACACTTTGTATATTTTTGTGAGGACATAATCAGAGTCAGTGGGGTTCTTTTTTTTTTTTTTTTTTTTTGAGACAGGGTTTTTCTGTGAAGCTGTGGATGTCCTGGAACTTGCTCTGTAGACCAGGCTAGCCTCTAACTCATAGAGATCTGCTTGCCTCAACCTCCCAAGTGCTGCGATTAAAGATGTGAGCCACCATGCCCAGTTTAGAGTCAGAGTCCAGTGTTTTTATATAGAAGACTGAATTTTGTGTATATATGCACACATATACTTATTTGTATTATATATACACACATACATATGCATATATGTATGGTTATACAAAGATTTCAAAGTATGACAAAATATATGGGGCTGGAGAGCCTGCTCTGTGGTTAAGAGTAATGGTTGCTCTTCCAGAGTACCTAGGTTCAGTTTCTACCACCCACATGGAGTCAAACAACTGTAACTCTAGTTCCAGGGGATCAGATGCCCTCTTCTGGCCCCCATCAACATTGCAAACAGGTGGTATATTTACATATATGCAGACAGAACACTCACAAATAATAATAAAATGTTTTAAAAGATTAACAAACAGGCCAGCCTGGGCTATAGAGTGAGTTCCAGGAAAGGCACAAAGCTACACAGAGAAACCCTGTCTCAAAAAACCAAAAAAAAAAAAAAAAAAAAAAAAAGAAAAGATTAACAAACAATCAAAGGTGTACAGTTCAAGAATTGGGCATGTATATGGCATTCAAAAGACAC